TGACTATCCAATGCGATTAACTTTTTTCTCATTCGAGTCAATTGTTGATAATTCTATGGTATTGATGGTAACTTGAAGGAAATCAGTGTCGAAACTGATTAAATTGATTGACATCAGGTTTTTGACAGCGTTTTATGTACAGTTCGGGAAAATTCAGTTGACTGGTTCCAAATTCGGTACTGATCGAATCAGTAAGTGAAATGAAAATTGGCAACAATTAAAGAACTTCAATCATGAGGAGCACATCAATATTTTGAAATGTTAATGAAGCTCTTGTGAATGAATGAAGGTGCAAAATTTTACAAATTTATTCGAATGAGAAAAAAGTTAATCGCATTGGATAGTCACAATGACAAAATAGCTATATTTATCGAAAATCGATATGCTGTTCTAAGAATCATTTCAAAATGAAAAAACAAACAAAAATTGCAAGAATTGATAAAAAAGACAACTAATGTTGCACAGATTGTTCTTATTCATATGATAAGAACGAAGATTGATTCTGCTCTTTTCGATTTTATTTCCAAATTTTTTTTAAGTTCCTTCGATTTATCTATTTACTTATGCATATAAGTTATATTCAAGTGAGCATAGTATGAGAACGTCACTACTGTGGAAAACGAATATGTTATTGCAGCTTTTGTTATTGACAACTGTGGCAAAGCTATATCGGCCGCACTACTTGTGACGCCTCTGGCACATAAGAATACACGAGTGTAGAGAATGATCAATTGAAGAAATAGAAACAAAACAAAAATAGCACTATATTGATATTTATATATATGTCATCAGATGATAGTGGTTTTTAATAATCTGACGGCAAAATATATGGAAGGAATATATAGAAAGAATGAGATAACGAAAAGGGTAGAAAAAAAAAGAATATTAATTTACACAAAGAACGTGTTTATTTGTCGGAACAATCATTGTATAAAAAATGTCGATGAAGTGTTGATCTTTTCGTATAAATAACACGTTGGTATACTTTTAATTCGCGATTATTGTTAATGTTTGTCTAAGTTTCGGTAAGATACAAATATGAAGAATAAAATATATATATATATATATATATTTCCTTTTGCGTGATATATTTATACTCAACTGTTAGTGTAACGATCAATAAGGCCCTGACTGGGTTTATACGTAATGACAAACTGAATAGAGGTGGAGTAGCTTACCGCCACTCTCGGCAATGATGTTTATTCGCTTCTTCACATATCCAGAGTGTAACAACTTCATACATAACACACATATATATAGGAGAGAGATAGAAGAGAGACAGGAGAGAGATATATTAGAACAACGGAAAGAGAACAGAAGGAGGAGGAAGGAGAATCATCGAAGCGTGCCATCAATATCGGCACAGTTATGTTCTACTTTCATTATACTGTTTTAAGGGCAAATCATGGGTTCGAATATATAGAACATAAACGTTTTTATTCCTTAAACTTAAAGAATCACCACCGATACATAATATCGCATGGATATATAAAACATCAAAGAAGAAAGAAAAGAATAGAAAGATGAACAGTTAGATATAGATCGATGTCATATCATAACACCCTACCCCTTTGAGAAAAAAAAGATTATTTGTAAATAGAAAGAAAAATCTTTTTTTTTTTTATAGACCAGAACAACAGGTTTAACATCATACACCAAAAAAATATAGAACTGAATAAATGAAATAATGTAAGACTGGAATCAACAGAAAACATAAAAAAACTAACAACAGGAAGCAAAGAAAAAAATGCGATCAAAAACATGATCGAGTTTGTAACAAATATACTTGATCAAATATTATAACTTATGTTGTATTAATGTAAGTTGTTCATATGAATATTGTTATAAATATATAAAGTCGACCAAATAATAAATATACTTTATCAATGCACACAATAATATTTTATTTTGATTTTATAAATATTGGTTGAATATCATTAACATGTTGACGAATAATTAATGGAGTTGTTTCATTTCGTACCGATTGAGTAGAATTTTGTTTTCTAATAATTGATTTTGGATATACTTGACCGGGGTTTTTAATATAGCTATTGCTATTTTCTTGACAATGTAAACAAGTGTTTATATATTGGATAATAGATTGTTTCATATTTGGCCACCAGAACTTGTTTTTTAATTTCAAATATATACGTTGTATGCTGGAGTAATCTGCAATAGGATCAGTATGATAAACTTTAATAAACGAATCAATCATGGAAGATGGTAAATAAAGTAATTTAACTTTAGTTAAACAATTGGCCTTCATTAACATTAATTTATATAACACTCCATCTTGTAATACATAGGGATGCTCGTTTGGATTCTGTTTTAGTTCTTTAATTGTTTGTTGAATATGTGGATCTTTAGATTGTTCCATTTTTAATTGATTTGTATCAAACTGATCTGGTTGTCGTTTGTATATAGTTAATTTGTTTTTTGGACATGTAAAAATAGAACCGATTTGGTTACAAATTTTTTCAGCAACATACGCCGTAGTCAGCGGTTGCCTATTACGTTTCAAATAAGTTTTATTAATTTTGCCTAATATTACTTTCGAGTTTGGATGAGATGAATTGTTTGGATTTTTATAGATTGGTTGTTTGTTAATGGTAGAAATGTTCGTCAATATTAATGTAGAAATGGTTGTTGTTCCCAAAATAATTCCTTTTGATAACGTTTGCGAATAACTTTTCGGATTATAAAGAGAGATAAAAGAAGTATAATCATTAACAGATATTAATGAGCTTGATATTACTAAAGGTGTATGTTGTTGTAAATTAAATGATGGTCGAAATAGCGCTTTATATGATGATAATGGAACAGAAACTGGAACAGAAACAGTCTGTTTTGGTTTAATCCGAATATTCTTAATCAAGCGCACTGGTACACGAAGTTTTTCATTATTAATATTAACATGTAATTTTGTTCGCTTAATCTCATCAGCAATCGACATTGTTTGTTCTTCCAGATTAATATGTAACTTATATTTATTAATGAAATCCGTACCTAATATACAATCAACATATAATTCTTTTACAATAAATGCTCGAATTGAAGTCAATATGTCACCAATTTTGATTGATAAAGTAATTTCACCATAAATAGGAAAAGATATATTTTCATGAGAAAAAAATACTGGACGATGTATCGAATTAATAAATTCTTGACTACATGTTTTAGATAATGATTTCATTGAAATAAATGTATCAGATGCGTCCATATCTATCATAGCTTTCATATATTTATCATTAATAAATGTTGTTATAAGAAATAATGATGAGTTATTGAAAGATGGATTTGTATTAATATTACAGGAAGCAACACCATCTTGCGAAGCTTCCGTTACTCGAAATGGTGACGGGTACAATCCCGAGAATAATGTCCAGGAGTACCACATGTATAACAAATTCTTGAAGACTTATTTGATGTTGAATTACGTGATTGACTAGAATAAAAAGAATTTTTATAACGCGAATTATTCTCACCATTTGTGTCTAAGAATTCTTGTTGTGGATATTGAACATTTTTGTATTCATTGTGTTCAAGTTGTTCTTCAGGAGTAGCTATTGGTGATAATGATTGCTGAAATGTATGAATATCTTGTGATTCATTATATTGATTCATTATATAATCAGTTTTAGTAAAAGATAATGTATCTTCTAGTTTCCTTGCATATGATAAAAATGTTTCAATCGTTTGTGGATCATATAAGGCAATATGTAACTTTAATGATTCTTTTACACCAGCTATTAAATATTTTAATTTTAATGAATCAGGCATAGCTGGATCAACTTTCTTGCACAGTTCTATAATTTTATCATAATATTGTGTAACAGATTGATTAACTGTTTGTTTGTACCATTTTAATTGTTCGAATGCTAATTCTTGTGCTTGCGTTGATCCAAAAGCTCGTGTGACTGCATCTTTAAACGAAGACCAAGCCTTGATTGTTGAGGATGTTTGCATCCACCACCGATATGCATCATCTTGTAAGTGTATTGATATATAATGTAATTTATTTTCATCATTCCATTGAGCCATTGTAAATCGTTGTTCTAACTTATCTAACCAATCGTGTACATCATCTTGTGAACCACGAAAATATGTTGGTTTCTTAATAATTTCATCCGCCACGGTTCGTTGTAAATGTGATATAGATGAGTGATCAG